ATACCTCAAATGTCTATAGATTGTTATACCCAGTTCAAATCTAAATCCATTTGTTTTAGAGAGAAAAATATGTAAAACTGCATTAGATAAGATGTATCACAAAACCAAATAATTGATGTATATGCTAAGTATATGTAACAAAGTCCTTCAATACAAATCTGATAAAAGGTTGCAAAGAATGTATATAATAAAGTGAAATATTAGAATAAACAAAAACACTTAAGAGTTCAAATTAATTTTGTTATAAGAATATCTACTATTGCAATGTGCTTATTAATAATTTTGGTTAGTAATGAATATCAAATTCTACTAGAAGAAAAATAAGTTTTGTCAAGTAAAATATTTTTTGTGTTAAGCATAATTAATGACTAACAAGAGTAAAAAGGGATTTATGTTGTCAGCAGGCATGTTGAGAAGCATTGAAACTATCAAGAATTCAAAGGATGCTGAAATTTTTTCAGGATTTTAAAGTCAAAAGTTTGGTTTTTAGAACAAATATAAATTCATATAGTTGAGAATTACATCATTTAAAACCAGACAATGGACAAAGATTATTAAAAATATATTGCTTCACTAAAAGATACAAAATGAATTTAATTTTCAGAAAAGTTTTAATTCAGAAATGAAGTTTCGAAAATGTTCTACCAAAGAAAAATAAATATAGGTCGACAATCTCTTCAATTTGCTTTTTAAAAATATTGACATCTTGTACAGACTGTCTTCCAAAATGTAAAAAAATTTAGAAAAGAAAACATTTTTCATTTTTAAAAGAAACTAGTTTAAAATATTTCTTTTAAACTGCATTTCATACAAGCAATTTAAATTTAGGATATTCTAAACTTAAAATCTAAGATTGTTCCACAAACTTACATTCTTGTTAATGTTAAAGATACTATGTTAGCTTGTACAAGTCAAAAAGATTCCCTATGATATTTTTCTAGATTTACTTTTTATTTATGAATATTATATGAGTTTCTGTCCTTAGTAAAAAAAAAAAAAAAAAAAATAGATAACTTGTGGGTGCCAGGTTTTTTTTTTATGCAAAGTGTAACAATTTTTTATTTATAAATCCAAAAAGATATAAACCAGAGAAATATACTTAAGACAATAGCCTCCATACCCAAATAAATTATTTTATCATTTTACATCTTAAAATACTTAGTTATTTTTTGGTCTTCAGTTTTTGGATATTTTCCACCTCTTAATGATAAACCACAAATTTTCAATTAGATTAAAAGATTAGTCTGGAGACCACTCCATTAATTGGATGCAATAGTCAGGGTTGCAGAATGTGAAGGAGCATGGTTTTGCATGAATATACTCTTTAAAGCTTATTGTGACCTGCATTGCTATTTATAAAAAAAAAAAAAAGTGGAGGAGTGTTCAAGAAGTTACAATAAGCCTTGATACTACCAACTTTGAAGAGAACTTAATTATTACTGCTGTCAATCTTGAAACATCACTCCATCTCCCCCTGCTTTCTAAGTCAATTTGTTGAAGGTGTCTATGAAAAACCCAGCCTGTAGCCCAGCCATCAGGCCTATCTAATTTAGCTTTACATTCATTAAAAACTTGAGAAATCAGTTTTCATGTACTTCTCCACCCAGCTTACATTTCTCTTGGTGATATTTAAAAAGATGGAAGTTTGATTGATTTCATATCTTTAGCCAATGTTCTTAATATCCTGCATTTTTTTCTGTTTAGATTTGCAATACCAGTTTCAAATATTTTTTTGCTGATCAACCCACATTTCATGCTTATGACCATTTCTTCTTCAATCTCTATGTGACATCCTGAAAGCTAGTTTTATTACTTTGTGAAAACTTCCAATTTCTTTTTTGATTGTTCTAATATCTGTTAAACATTTTTGCAATTTCCACTGTTGTTCCTCTCACTTATACTTTACAATATAGTCTTCCTTCAGAGATTACAGTTAAAAAAAAAAAAAAAAAAACATTAGCCTACTGTAATTTATATATATCTGAAATTAAATAACTATACCATTGTATATATATTTATGTTTGAATCCTCTTTACATGTAAGAAAATCTCAGCAAATTTGTATAAAAAATTTGAATAAAAACTGAAATTCACATGGCATATATTTTTCAGAAAAATTTCAACATTACTTGATTAATACTAATTTTATTGAGATTGACTTGTAAAACAATCTGACACTATTAAGTTAACAAACATCAATATTACATTTAGTATGACTGATTACAGAAACTATTCTAATAATATGTGAAGTAGTTAACACTTATCTGGTAAAATTCAGGCCATCCTGACAATTAGAAATGCCTTGTCATATAACAGTTGTTACTTTTGTGTATATATTTCATACACCAAATGAAACAGTTATGGGCAAGATAGTTAATAATTCATTGTTGCATGAATTCTATTTGTTCAAAGTACAAATGATAATACTGGATTATCAATGCTGCTACCAATTTGAACCAGTCATTTGAGAAGTGTATTTGAACCGAAAAGGTATTTTTCATTAAAAGTTAAAATTCTGTTCAAAGAATTAAGTTATCAGATTAAACATTTGCTTTAAAAAAAAAAAAGAAAAAAAAAAAGGACATCTCACATGATCAAAAATAAATAAAATTTTCAATAGATGGTTATGCAAATATTTGTAAGCAAAGACTTCTCAATACTTATGTAGTTAGCAAAAGTGTAACATTTATATCACAAATACAATTTGTTTTAAAATTTTCAGCTTCTGAGTATACATAATACTATAAACATGACAAATGAATAGGTACACCTTTTTTTTTTTTTTTAAATTGTTTAGTATGTTAAAGAATTATCAAGTGGGCTTTTCAAAGTCATCTCCAGCATTTACTAAAGGGAATAGTAGCAATTTTTGAATCCTTATCAAAATAGATTATCAGAACTGTACTTTTACACATCCATAAAGGTAAAAGTGTAAATACTCCCCCCCACCCCCAACTATTTAACTACGAAGACACTAGAAACAAAAATATGGTTTCATACTGTAAAATACTTTTCAAATATAGGATCTATTCTTTGAAAGGTAAGAAAGATGTTAATTTTACTATCATACATAAAAGCAACTTTTCTGCAATGCTTCAGACACTATTTCAGTTCTATCATCAGAATATCAGAAATATTTTAATCTCAATCACAACGATTTTTTTAGTAAACAAATTCTAAATAAACATGATAATCATCTCGAATATAAGATACTCAGTGAAATTTTGACTGATCAAAAATCTTGGATAGTGGCACAGATACTAAAATATTTTCATAAACAATCCAGTATTTGCTTTACCAGTAATAAACAAGACATAAAAACTTCATAATCGAGCAATGTCTGGGGTTGGGGATGAAAGTAAATAAATCTTTGAATAAAGTTGATAATTTAAAAGAAAAAACATAAGTTATATGCAAAGAAAAAATGATAATGAACCAATAATAAACTTTCCTTTTACTCTTGTTTTAAACAGTCACATTCTCTCTGTCACAAACATAAGAAACATGGAGGGGTAATGGACACCGGTAGTGACAGACTCACCAACGTTCAGCAGGCAAATTCCTCAAGACAATCCAGAAGTCTTTTAAAGATTTCAAAATGCACAGGGACACTGAAAATTGTAGACCTGGAGTCACTCCAAATACTTACCAGAGACAAGGTGGTGGCATTTGATTCACACATTAAACTGCTCGCAACACAAATCACTTTGAAATAAAAAGGACAACATAAAGATGGCACACCAAGTTTGCACTGCCACAAAATTTGGAAAACTTTTTCAACATCAACACAATCACCACTGGTTAAATTTTTTTTCTCATCATACCAAATGATGGCACCAAATATCCAGTAAGCTACACTGAAGCTAAATAGTCACATATAAGAATCTATAATCATTTGATTTCAATTCCAATTCCTTTAAGTCAACAACAGGAAACTGTTCTCGACATATTTCAACATACAGACAAAGCAAGATAAACTTCCAACGTCTTGACAAGGAATCAGCCAAATGAGAAATCTTGGCACACGACTTTTTCTTTCATAACATCAATATTGCTAATCAATCTAGCATGAGTAAAAACCTAAGAAGATACACTCAAAACAGACACATTGCTTGTCACCATTTCATTTGCAAGTAAAAATGGACAAAAATAAGTCACATTTATAGTAACAACTTTAAGAAGAATTAAAAGAAATTCATATCTTCATTATTCAAGAGTGCCTGCCAGTTTTGAGTGAATAAGAAAATATTTTCATTCAAAATTCAAATCAGGCAATAAAGATACCAAATCTTTTCACAAAGTTCTCCAAACGGAAAAGTATCTTTAAACTGATTAGAAAATCATTACATCTCTAAAAACAAATGTCGAATAGAATCTATGTTGTTGCTGTTGTTGTTGTTTTTCTTCTTCATAGAGGTAAGTTTGTGTAACTAATTTTGTTCTCTTAGGTTTTAAGACAAACTTCACAATCATTTGCATCATACTGACAATTTTTCAGCTACAAACTATTTCAGTGCAGCTCAACAGTTAGGCAGCCATTTCTCAGATTCAAGTCAGTTAAGAACAAAGTGTACCACCTTCAACAAAACATTACTTTTTCTATTTGCATCAAATGATGCGATTTATCTTTTTCCAGGAAAAATATATTTATGAAAATAAAGACATTTTTCACATTAAACACACGCATACATTTTTTTTTAAAAAAAGAAAAAAAAAAGTAAGAATCCTCTTGTCAGCACGCACAAAACACAAGACCTTCATGCATTTTAAATTTATTTACTTTCTACAGATCAGCTCCCATTCAACACACAAAAGGAGACATCCGTCACCCATTCAACAATGTTGATTCAGTTTGTTCACATCCGTCATGCTTGCATCAGTCTGTGCGTGCAACCCACTGGCAACAATTTGCCCTTTACTGTGGTCACCCATCACACAACTAGAAGTTTTACTGACCCAGACCAGAGCTACCTTTCATTCATTTTACCACCTTTAAATAGGTCAAAAAAGGAAGGAAGAAGGGGGGAGAGAGAGTGAGAGAGAGAAAAAAAAGGTGGGAGGTGGGGAGTCATTATGAGAAAGTGAATGGATGGGCAGGTGGGTGGTTTCTTCATTAACAGGCAGCTTGTTTTATTATTTGGAGGTCTTTTCTTTTTCCCCATTTCTTTCTAGAGATGATCAAACAAATAAGGGATGGGAATGTACTCAAAGTCAACACCCAACAACTCTGTATTTAGTGTAAAGATTCTTTTGAATAGATGAAGTTCACCAAACCAAGACATTCATTCGAACCACATGGGTTACTAGGGACAGAACAAGTGAATTCAAATTAAACTCTAAAAAGGATGATAACATGAATATCTAAAATGTTTAAACCTGCATCAAATTGCCTTTCAAATGATTTCCACCCTCAATTATAACAACTAAACAGTAGGATTCTTGACAAATTGTAGCAAATTCATTCACAACATTCAAAAATCAATTTCAAAAACAATTCATGAATTACTACTAAGATTTAGAAAGTGTGAAAAAAGGTGAACTCCGCCTTATAACTGAGCATAAAAACCTACAAAATAGTGAATGTTTCACAGACAAAACGTACATGAGCCCTTATTTTAGGTAACTCAAATAAATCAGAAACAAACATAAGTGAAATTGTCAAGGAATGGTGAATCTGTTTATGATAAATGGGTTAGGTTTTTTTTCTTCTTCTTTTTAATATTATATATCTTTTTCTTTGCATTCTTGTGTATGTTTCTCTTTATCCTCATTTAATTCCATCCCCCACCTGATTTAGAGTGAGAACCACCCCAACTTGAATGTGCCTGGCCATTTTCTGAAGGACCTCCCCAACCAAGGTAACTATTATTTGGGCCACTACCAATGCTGCCAAAATTTTGGTTACTGCTCTGGTTATTAGAATCACCCCCACCTTGGCCCATTCCCAATGGCCCCCAGCCCCCTGAACCACTAAGGACAGCTTGCGCAGCAGCCAACATTGCAGGGTTAATTTGGAAGTTTCCAAAATTCATATGTGGACCATTCATGTTTCCATTGCTGTTTCGATTTCCTTGGTTCCAGCCACCCTGGCCATAGCTTTGATTGTAGTTGCCCTGTGGCTGATTACGTCGGTCCCAGTTGACACTATTGTTGCCACTGTTGTTGTGCTTATCCACAGGTTTTGGCAGTGCATTGCTCACATGAACACTCACATTCTTCACAATGTGATCCTCACCACACAGGCTTTGAGCCACATCAGGGTCAGAGAAAGTGATAAATGCAAAGGCCCGGAATGGCTTGGGGATGAAGACATCAATGACTTCTCCAAATTTTGAGAAATAAGTTAGCAGATCATCTTCAGTCATGTCTTCTGTACATCGCCCAACAAATACTTTACTGTTGACTTGATGTTGGCTACCTCCCTACAAAAAAAAAAAAAAAAAAAAAAAAAAAAAAGAAAAGAAAAAGAAAAAGTATATATATACACACACATATTGAAAGAACCATAGAGTGAGGTTAGCCTTTAAAACAACTTTTGTAAAGGATGTGTGTGTGTGTGTGTGTGTGTGTGTGCATATATATATGCAACCAGTTAATTACTGTCATAATTTTATATATAATAGATTCCAGTTAACTAGAATACATCAGTACCACAAATGTTTGTTTAGAATCATTTTAAATAAAAATAAAAAGAATGTTTAAAAAGTTGATTCTATTCCGGCACAATTTATTCTACAAAGCAGCTATCCCTTGTAAAGTGGGTTTCATTTATCTGGAATATATTGTAATACTTTTATATACTTTATTTGCTGAAGTATTCATGTAGAAATTCTCTAAGTTTAGATTCAATACAAATCTCTATTTTGAAATAATCGTAACTTATTGAAGGTAATATATTATTGCATTACCATGAAATATATTATTTAATAACATAAATGATAACAATATTGCATGTTGAAATTAAGGCTTTTATATGTGCTATAGAAATTTTAAGACATTTTTTGGTTCTCAGTTTTATGAGCAATGTTAAAAAATGGTTGCTAAACTGTATGCAATAAGTTCTATATACAATTTTCTGTTTCCATAAGGACATAATAAAAATGTTTACATTTACAGAAAAACAGGTGGTAACCGATGTTAAGGCACAACCCAAACATTTGACAAATGGCTATAAAAAAAAAAGAAAAAAAAAATTGTACTGTAATGTATCTACATTTTATTATTGTATTATGTAAATGTAAATTGTCTATTTATTTTGGAAATAGAGAAAAAAAAATGTGGCAACAGTATTGTAGAACATGTTTCTAATTTCAATAACATACAAAACAAGCAGCCAATATGAGATCATGTTGTACTTAGTCTTTCATTTATGCATATCTTGTTGACTAAATTCTGATCATATAGTTTATTTGGACCTTCTTAGTCTAGGAAGCATTTTAAGGTTTTTACCCAATTTTTTTTCTTCTCTTTTTTAATATGACAAAAAAACCTATAATACAGTAGGTACTCTACAGTCCTGTTTATCATAGGATGGTACAACATTATAAAGTATTTATATTTTATTAATAATGGTATTTAGACATGGTACCATATGCTGTGCAATATGTATATTTCACTTACTAAACCAGTTGACATGCTAATGATGCAAGTTGATGCATGAGAGTGCATCAGAAATATGTTATAAATATTTGAATAGATATAAAATTCTTTGGTATCAAAAAATAAATAAAAAACAATTTTAGAAATTAAATTCAAAATATTATCTGAGCACAACATACAGAATTTGTTTAGCCTACAAGAATTTAAAGCATTAGCCACATTAATTTTATTGAAAAATATAGGAAAATAATTAAGAAAATTCCATTTTTTTTTCCTGCAAAATCTGACCAAATATATATAGCAGTTTTTAAAATTTGTTTTGGGATGAACTTAGAATAGCACCAAGCTATTCAGATGTATTAAAATAATTTGTAAATTCTAAAATTAAGTCGACATGATTTGAAAACTTATCCTCAAAAATAAATTGATATAAAAATAAAAAAAAGTCTTGAATATTTACCCAGAATAAAAATTATTTTCATCTATTCACAAAGAAATCATAAGAACTGTTACTTGTACATCAACAAAGATAATCTAAAGAATTTAACAAAACTTATTTACGATTTTTTTTTTTTTTTTTAAATCATGAAATTAATATTCTGGATAAACAATCAAAGATTTACCTTAGAATTTGGAATTCTCACATCACACCATCTGCCATCAATCATGTGTCTTAGATTTAGACATTTCTGTTGGGATTCATAGTCTTGGAATCTGACAAATCCAAATCCTTTTGATTGACCAGATTTCAAATCTTTCTTAACCTGAAACAATATTAAATCATCAAAATCCAGTAAAATACCATTTCTATTTCAGTAACTAAAAATTCGATCATAAAGCTGCAACCAATCAAAAACAACATTAAAATAAAACAAAATATAGATATTTTATATAATTATTTGTACAATATTTAACTCGGTAGTGAAATAAAATCAGCAGATTTTTTTTTTTTTTTAATACAATTATTTTCATTATTTAAATGTTTCATTTCCACTTGTCTGGAGAAAAAAAGTTAATCTAAGCTTAATTATTTAAGTTAATAATAATATCAATTTCTTTTGGGTATTTACTTTTTATCCACCGTGGATGTTAAGGAAATCAAACAAATTGTTTTGTTATAAAATTTAATGTTCTTTTCATTTTCTCGTGTGTTGAAGCCCACCTCAACCAACTAAAGATATTCTATTGTACAGTGTACACACATACATATTCCCAAAATTAACATCCATTACTTAGTCCATTACTTTAACTTTGGATTGCTGGAGTTCTTGTTAAAAAATTGAATGGTTTTAATTTATCATTCTCTAGTTGTAGTAATCATTACTGCAACTCTGTCAGTTGTGTGCCATGCGTGATACACGCTTAGGTGATTATGTATCTTTTGATACATGACTGATGAGGCAGATTTTTCCCTGCAGTAGGTTGCCATTTCTTTCTGTGGTAGACCAGTTGTCATCCAAGGCTACAGAACCCAATCTGTCCTGCTATTTACCCATAGCTAGGAGGAGAAGAGGATTCATACCTTTCCCAAGGATATTAGTACATAATGGATTCAACTGGAATTCAAACTCAGCTCTGTTTCCTCAATCCAAGCCAAATTAACATTGGTTAAAATAAATCTATCCACTGATAGCTTTTGAAAACAATTTTCAGTAAAAGGCCTTAGAAATCTGATTATCCATGAGAAAAAAAAAAAAAAAAAAAATTATACACGCCATACATTTGAAAAATATGTAATTTTATTTTTAAAAAGTTTCAATTTTTAAGACAAATTTAATTTTTCTTTTTAATTTAAAATTCTTTAAATCCATATGTGATAATTACCTGCACCATAAGCAGATCTCCAAATTGTGAGAAATATTGGCGTAGATCATCTTCAGTACTCTTCCATGGTAAGCCCAACACAATCAAATCTGTGCATTTTTTGTCCATACGTTTGGTTTTAACTGCAGGATTATCAGGGCCATCCTCACTTTTTCTCTTGTTATCTGAAGATTAAAGAAAAAGGGAAGCCTTTTACTTCAAATACTGTCCAAAATCTTAAATGACCCCCCCCCGCCACAACTTTTTCTACGCAAGCTGACATGTTTAAAGTCAAAAATAAATCGTCATATTTTTTTTTAATAAAAATTGTCACCTAGACAATTTAATTTTAAAAGTAAAAATTCGTAAAAAGTTTTTTTCTTTGCACATTTGAGAACTTAAAAGAAAACATGTTGACCAAATAATTTCGCCCTAAGTTTTGAAGTCCTCTTTTACAATGTTTCTCTATCACGCAGTCGAGGAATTAGTAATCAGCGAGAATAACCCAAGAGCTGCTGCGCCTAATTTCTCATTTAAAAAAAATAAAAAGCGACATGACAGCATGCTTGACCTATTTATGTTCTATCAACAGACAGCAACATTCGATCTTCAAAAGTATAAATATTTAGAAATTCTTTCAGTTGATTTTCATGCATTGAAGAATTATTGTAAAAACAAAATTAAGCACTTCATAAATATAAATGCTTAATGAAAATTGAAAACTCAAAAGAACTGTCGACATTTTTCCACTGAAAAATCTCGCTTTTTATGTGAAAATTTAACGAGACAAAAAAAAGAAAAAGAAAAAAAAAGTAAATGGTTTAAATTTGCACAAACAATATTAATACTTATCTACAAATCAAATTAAAACTAAAGAGACATTTTTAAAATAGCATAACTATTTAATAATTTTGCATTCACAATGTTTTAAAATAATTTCAAACACTGAGGTTTTTCGTAAGCACTTGTCATAATAAAAATAATTAATGGGTCAACTAGGATTTAAATTTCAGTCCGTTCAGTCATAAATCAACATTTGTATAAAAAAAAAAAAACTAGTCCAGAATTAACACCTTTTGTTTGCTAGATTTAACATTAAAAATAATTTCGCATTTTTAAGTAAAAATTAAAATAGAAAAAACTAGAAAATGCCCATTTACTTCGTTCCAACTTCAATGAGAAAAAGTTTGAAAGAATTAGTCTAAATTATGCTAGCAAAGCAATTACATGCATATGCCGAACTAAATTAGAAGAAATCAGTACTTTTTTATTTATTTAAAAACGGTTTTAATTTCCCCAATTTTAAACGAAAATTGCCGATCAGAACTGTGATTAAAAAACATTCGTGATTCAACGAGTGTAAGTTCGAAACTTTGCAAATGTATCAATTGGAATTTTTACATTAAGATTTTTGGGGAATAATTTTCAAAATATCTTTTCAAAATTTATCATAAGAGAAAAATGACAAACTTTATTGCGGTGTATTTACTGATTTGGCGAAAATAGTCAAACGCAAACTAAATTAATAATGTCACAATTTTCTAAGCATTTTTTTTTTCAGGACTTTGGGTCAACAATTTACCCTTTACTTGTTTTTTTAGGATGGAGAAATAATTTGTCTTCAGTTGATTTGACTTATTTTCTTTACCGTTAAACTAAAAAGCAATCATAACCAAGTAGTGTACAATTTCCGCAGGTGACTAACATCGAAGGTCGATAAAAAATTGTATAGTGAGGTAGAATTTAATTTTTATTTTTTTTAGCAATAGAAACTCAATAAACTCCTTGCAATATAAAAAAAATTGCCATCAATCCTAGTTAACTTTTTTGTAACTAAAAAAAAAAAACTCACAAATACTGAAAAAAAAAAAAGGGGCAAAAACCTAAATTCTTAAAAAAAAAAAATGAATTTTTTTTGCCTGAATATTTTTCCTTTTAAACCAAATATTTAATTTAGTATTTCCGATCAATTCACCTTCTCAGACTTTAATGCGCCATCACGTTCCCTCCCACTTTTTAAAATAAGTAAATAAATACTACACACTTATCAAAAGAAAGCATTGTTTTTTTTTTTCGTGATAACAAAACAAATCTAATTTATAAAGCAAGGGGTTAAGCTTAAAATAAATGAATTAATGTTATTTTTCTTTTTATTAGTTTCTTTTTGGGGATAGGGATTTAATAAAAAATATTTCTATAGCTCAGAAAGCAAAACATAAAACATACATACATAAAAATCAACAATATTCTTTCATATGAAGTCAAATAAGCAGACGAAATTTGAAGTTATTTCTTGAACAAATTCCAGGTAGAAATTGTATACAGAAAAATAAGGAAGACATGGCCATTTTCTTCAGTTTAAAAACCACTGTGCTATTACTAATACAACCTAAGATCTATTGGTAAGCCGTTACAATTTGTTCAAATGTCAATATTGTTTACTTCATTAGACATCACACACTCATCATAAATGTAAAATAAACCAAACAATAAATGTTATTTAAAAATATAATTAAACAGGTTTTTTTTTATGAATGATATAGTGAGGAGAACTAGAGATAATTTGGTTTCTTTTTTCCACGATGAGTTTTTTAAGCGATAAGAAAAAAAAAAGAGGATTGAGAGAAACAAACGGGTTACCTTTAGAAAAGACAATATTATAAACACGGTCCAGCCAACCATCTTCTGGGGGAAAGAGATGTCCATCGTTCAAACGAATTCCTCGGATGGCACATGTGCTCTCATTACGATATTTTAAGCCACAAGCTCCAGGAAATTGGGCCGACAATGTGCTTAAAAGCAAAGTACCATCCATTTCTGTTGGAACCTCTATTGGTTCAGAATTATCATCTTCGGACACTTGAATGTAATGGCTCATCTTTGGTGGGTTAGGTTTAAGGGAGAGAGTAGGAAAAAACGCAGAAATGGAATAAAAAAAAATAAAGGTAGAAAGAGACGATTAACACAAGCAAAGATGTACACACGCACACATACACACCGTTATGGCGTCTCACAATGGCATTCTGGGATATCAAAATGAAGAAAATGGAGAAATGAGAAAGCAAATTGTGCTTATGCGTAAACAAATCAATTTTTTTATTAGCAAAAATTTATTTCTTCTATTTGGATTGAACGAATAAAATTATTTTATATCTATATCTGTTTATAAAAATTATTCATTGATCTAATCCGAGTACTTAGCAACGCTACAACAAAGTCCGCTAAAGCGGAAATGACGTCACCATCACTTCTTACCGTTGAGTATAATAATCGAAATACCATTGACTAGCGTTAATGTCAGTTATTATTTTCAAATATTTTCACCGTTCATTGCTAATTTGAGGGAGTAAAATTGTCTAAACCAAAAAAATATATATATTCTACCATGAATACAATGTGTGTTATAAATAAACTTTGCTGGAAATGATTATTATTAGTTCCCAATTCCCAACTCATCATTTTCATTTCATACGTAAAAAAGTAAGCCATGAATGTTTTATAGACCTAATGAAGATTTTGACAACTTTCTTCACTTAATTGTGAATAGGTTTAAACTTGATTCACTTTATAGTTGATATATGTTCTTACGATCATAATGCTTTCCAACAATTATCAAGGAACACAATTTCTATCAAGATTGCAGTTCGGTTTTTAATCGACAAGTACTTTCTTAGCAAATCACTTCTGTTTTTATTTAATAGAAAAAAGAATTGTGTTTCAGTTATGTATTTTATTATAATTAACATTTTCTAAAAAAAGAAGACATTCTTACTGTAAAATATGAGCAAACCAATGTTTTACAAAAGTCGTGCAATCAGGAAATGTAAAAAATAGCATTGGGATAATAAGGCACAAATGAAATCCATAGATTGTTAAATACTAGACTTCTGCACTCAAGGTGTTAACAGTGATTAATAAATCTAAAATGAATTTTATTTAAAGAAATAGTTATCAATAAATAAATAAATAAATAAAATCCAAAATGAAAAATGTGACAAGAAGACTTAAAGACAATTTGAATATTTTTTATTCAAACAATCTATTAATAGTGAATAAAGACAATTCCTATTCATAGGCTTTCAGGAGTTCACTCTTTCAACTCCTTTTCATGTCTGTTGGTACTGTGTTTGGAGTTTGTATTTAAAAAAAATCTCAAACTGAGTATGAAAGACCCTTGAAAATTGATATTAATTTACAGGGTGGTCCGAAAGTCGTGTCACCCGTATAAAAAAAAAAAAAAAAAAGTAACAAGAATAGAACAAGAAGTAATACTGTAATACAAAGCACATGTACTGGATTCAGTTTATTCATTTTCATTGATGCTCTCACACATTGAGAAGGCTTGTATGAACACAATCATTTTCCTGTGAGAGCTCAAAATAGAAAATTATATTATGTAGCGGTGACAATACTTTCGGACCACCTGGTACTATTTTTTTAATGTTTGTTTAACAAACCTCATTATACAATGAATTACTTACAAGAGAATTCTTTATACCTGAAACTTTTATGAATTATTTATAAATACTAAAAATTATGGAAAGAAAAGAAAATCTGAGAGATAATGAAAATGTTCGGTTGATCAAGAAATGTTAAGAACAAAAAACCTTACTTTTAACCGTCAAATAAATTTTCCTGAACTTGAATTATTTTATAAATTTCTTTTAATATTTTTTGGATTATATTGAGTTAACTTTTCTATCAATTACAAGTCATGAAGATTTTGTACATTAGAAAAGGTTAATATAATGGTGTTAAAAAAGAAAAAAAATCTTTCCCTTTTCTTGTCACATGTTGATTTTAGTCAGTTAGGATGAACTGGTGTGGATAATGGAAAATGAACCCGACCCTTTATGGACCATGTGATTAGGTGAGCCAGATAGATTGAAATATTTGAGAATGTAGTTAATTCTCCATGTATGCAATGATGGTAAAACCAGTTGCTGGTGCAGTGAGTGACAGTTGCTGTGAAGAAGCATTTAGAAATTGTATAAGCCAGAGTTTTATAAGTAGATGCTGCAAGAAATTGCCTAAGTTAGATCTTAAAGATAGTGAGATAAGCCACCTAAGCCCAGACTAGTAATACTGTTAGCTTATTTATGCCAAAGAAGAATCAGCAGTAAAATTCACAATCTTTCCTGCTAAAGTAGAATATAAGATTTTGTTCAAATATGGCAGCTCAATTCCACAACAAAATAAACAAATTGCAAATCCAAACTCAAAGAACCAAGGGTAGAAAGAAATGTTGAAATCATGAATCACAAGTCCAATGTCACAAATCCCAATACACGTAAATGGTCAGAAATCTACCCCACAAGCCGATAGATGAGGTAAAAAGATAAACGACTTCCTAATTCAAGAACACAAACCGAGTTGATCTATGGCAACCCTGTTAGGTATTACTGTAATATATGATTGATGCCAGAATTTATTAGAAATTTGGATCTAATTTAATGTTCATTTTGAATGTATGATCACTTTGATCAAAAGTTCCTTATTGTGGTGACTCCAGTATGTACTCAGTTCATTGTAAGAAATATTAAAATAGTCTTTTTACTTAGCATCACATCAGAATATCAAGTACTATGTGCTTCAGAGAGTTCACCTAGAAAGTGACCTGATAGCCACCAAATGTAGAATTGGGCCTCAAAGGATGTTAGTGAGTACAGTGACATAAACCCAGCTGAACTTAGGATATATGTGTGCACAAGACAAACAGTTTTCAAAATGTTATATAAATGTCCAGCCTACAAAGAGGAAAGCAGAGGGTTCTTCACATCTTCATGAGAAGATTGAATATTCAAAGACCCCAAAGCTACATACCCTTATAGCCGATGTTAATATGACAGAGCCCAGAAGTGAATTATTTTATATATGAAAAATTTAGTCTTGTATTCTTATCAGGCATTATTAGCATGACATTAGGCTTCTAATGTGATAATGATTACAGTTGTTAAGATTATAAATCTTGAGTTCCAGTTCCAAGAATGTTTTTACTTTCAAGACTTTCATCCTGGTTGAGGATCATGCATGAATACAATCATTATTTTTTTAAGAATACCATGTGCATCAAGAAATTCAGGATTTAAAACTGCTTTTAGTTAGATTTGGGATGGTGTAATGGATAGCAATTCAGAATGAGAGATCAGAGAGCCAAGTTCAAATTCCAGTTGGCTTTTTTACATTTATCCACACACAAACACCCTTGGGAAAAGTATGAATTCATCTTCTCCCCCCAGCTATAGGTTAAATAGTAAGGCCTGTATTTGGAAAAAAATCATTGTTATCTTCAAAAATTGTTTATGCAATATTCATTCACACACACAATTAATTATTCTTACAATTCCAAATATATTTCAGTTTTAAATAACCCACAAAGGGTTGAAAAGCCATAAAAATACAAGTGAATAGCTGGATTTAAATTGCTGATTATAGAAGCACATTCATTACCAGTATCTTCTTAAAAGTATGTCTGCTTTTAGTTAGACAAGTGCTATATGCCATATAAAGTGAAACATACTCTTATCACTTTTATTATGTCTTAAAAATAGCACTGAAAGATGAAGATTAAAAAAAAATTGTTCACTTGATATTTAAATGAGGAAATGTGGAGTGCTCTTATTTGTTTCCCTTTCATTGACCTCTTTTCAGTGTATTTCAGATGGGTGCAGAGGATGCCACTGATTCTGTTGAGTCACTTTATTGGTGCAACAGATGAAATTATACTTAATATCTGATGCAATCATAGAATGCAAGAGAAGAAGAAAGTAAATAACAAAAGTCAGGTAAATAAAGAAATAATAAATAATTGAAACAATGAAAATTTCTCATAAATGAATCATTAAAAAAATTCACATGAGTTGTAAAAGAAAATTTGTTAAATTCTCTAAAGAAAAAAAAAGGGTTGGAAATATAGGGTTAAAGGTGATTTTTTTAGGCACCTTTATTTTAATTTTATTTGGAGTAAAATGTTTTAAATTTAGGTATTATTCAAAAGGCAGTAAAAAATCTATGAAATAAATCTGGGTAATTTTTCAAAATGAGTTAGTAATAATAAAATCATGAGTGTATGTGTTTTTTAAAGAGATTAAAAAGTATTATCAGTAGTATTCTTCATATAGCTTTTGTTTGTAAGCAAATGAGAAAAAAGTTATTAAGAAGAAGTATGTAGTGATGATTAAAAGTCAGCCATTATAATCATCATAACTTTTGGAGTATGAAAAGTTAATATTTTTTGCTTTTCTTGACACTTTTTTTCAATAAAAGATTTTCAAGCTAAAGAAAATTAATTAATCATTTTTTATGAGCATAAATTCAGTCATTGATCATTTCAAGTAGCAGACTTTATTGAAGTAAATGGTAAAATAACTCCTTTAATCATAAACTGAATCAACATCAACATCAACATCAATAATTTGTATAGAATACTTTCTTGGAATATTAAAACCAAAATCAATGAAAATTCAAATGCAATTTAATGAAACAAAAATGCAAAGGTGAGCATAAGAAATAGGCCATCTTGCCAAAAAAAACAATTTGTTTAATTCTTACTGAGAAGTTTTAAATATTTGACAATGTACTTTCATAAGTAGAATCTGTGGTCATTCAGGACTGTAATGCAAATTGTCATATTTACATGGACCCATTATGGGGAGAGATACAGACATGAATGCATTGGGATACTGAAAAAAGGCATGCAAACATTATGAGGAAATGTAAAAACTGTTTTTATTGAAAACTAAAATTGCACAAAATAAAGCATAACCTGTATTTAGCATAGCTTCCATTGACACAAACTACAGCCTAAACTTGATG